TTTTTTTTTTTTTTTTTTTTTTTTTTTTTCTCTCTCGTCACCTCTTCCGCATATGTTCGATCGTTAAAAGCGCGCAACATTTCGAAATTTCGAAGAGAAGGGGCGTTCTCGATTTTCTCGCTGCTTCCGCTGTTTTCAGAAGAGACGGTAACGATTGTGTTTTCTTTTTTTTTTTTCTCTTTTTTTTTTTTTCTTTTAAATATATAGATTACCGTGAGAGTTTACGTGTTACGTGTATGGTGTGTAATGTACTTCTTTTCTTCCTCTTCTCTCCGGTGTGACCAGTGTGTATACGGTACGTATATACATACATAGTTTTTTTTTTACAAGGCACAGGTAGCTTACACACACGTATGTTCATTCGCTGAGCGTCCCTCTTTCTCTCCCTTTCTTTCGCACTCGGTGACATTCGTTATAGTCTATCTGTCTCGCTCATGCTCACTCAGCAAACTCGCTCCTCGCACGCATGCCTCGTTCACGCAGTATTGCTTTTCATGTCATTCATCCGACAGAGATTACAGTGACTCTGTTTCTTTTCTTCTTTTCTACGCTTTTTATATTACTTCTTATCGGTTATTTTGTTTAACCTAGCGTTTTTTTCTCTTCGTCAAACGGCGCTTCATGGGGACGATCGGAGCATTATCTGTATTTATTATTATTATAATTAAAATAATTAAAATAATTTTGCGTAATTAGAGAAATAAAATAATTAGCGAAATAACTTTTATCATTTTTTTTTTCTTTTCTTTCCAGTTTTTGTTAGCAAAAGATAAAAGTAGTAAGCAATTCTCGAGAATTTTTTAAATGGACTTATACTTTTTTGAATTAATATTTAAAAGTTGATTCTTGAGAATTACTCTTAGGAATATATAATGTATTGAGAATTACTTTTGGACAATTATTTTTAATTTAATGTATACTAACGAAATATAAAACAATTCTAAAGAATTTTATTCCCAAATTAATTTGTATCCTTAACTTGAAAATAGATTTGCCATTTAGACAATAAAATTATCGAGAATATTTCTCGTTAAAGATTCTTAAGAGTATTTTTTCTTAAATTTATTTGAAAATTAATTAGTCACTTTTTGAGTCACTTTGAGAGTATTTTTAATAGAATCGCTCTCATTCTCGATGTCTATTAATAAAAAATAACAGTAATAAATAATTCTCGAAAAATTTTATCTTTAGAGAAAATTTAAGAATGGTAAATTCGTTTGATAGTAAAACTTTTGAAAATTTGTAAATTTGTAAATTATTATTATTATCTCTCAAAATGACTGTCCAATAATAACTATCGCTCTCAACGCAGTTAATGAAAAATAATTTGCAAGAGTAACTTTCGAAAGTTTCGATAATCACGAACTTCGATTTCTCGTTTGTCCACTTTCCTTTTTTATACTCTCCGCGTCATATATGTAGCTCGATAAATTAAATCGAGAGGAGGCACGATCATGCGACGATCTTTAACTCTCGATTATGGCGGATATTCGTGTCGCTTCGTTGATTCAACGTGATTGCACAATTTGCACGCGCACCGCATTGGAAAGTCGCTATCGTGGAGTGAGGTCGAAACTAGATTTCGATCGGCCGTCTATTCTACGCTTCACTCGTCAAATTGAATCGTTCGACGCGATTAAACCTTGTCCAACTAATGATTGATGGTTTATATCGAATTATGTTCGAAATTTTAAGTGACGAAATTGCGTGACAAGTATGAAAATTCTATGCGAATACTTCTTAAATAGAGATATGCTTATCGATAAAGTCATTTATGAACGTCGATAATATCGGTATTCCGTCGGTATTCGATTCATTGATAATATCGTTAAGATATTGTTAAGACGAAAAATGATTGAGAAAGAATGTCATGTGTTAAATAGTAATAATAAAATTTTTTAAATTCAAAAGATTATTTTAGAGGAACTGATGTTGAATTAGAAATAAGTTTCACAGTTTAAAAACACACAATAAAAAGTAAAAATAAAAATGATTTTTTTTATATCAATAATTTTATAAGTACAAATCTGAAGATTATCAATAACTGCAATCATTGAGAAATTCAAATTAATAAATGCAAATTTATTCGATATAAATCGATAATTTGATAAGTGCAAATTTTATTCTTGCAGCAAGTGTGCGATTTATTTCTTTTTATTAGAATTTATTACTAAAAAAATTTTGAAAATTTTCAAAAATTTTAATTGCACTTTTGATTCATCAAACGATTTTGTATAAACTATAAATTTCGTTAATTAAATTGCCGCAATAATACTCGTATTTACACTGTGTGATATTCGTATTAGATATATTCAAGCTAAGTTTATTCGTGATTTCGCAAATTCATTGAAATAACATTGGAATACCAATATTAACGTGATTACGAAAAGAACAGATAATCGAATGTGAATTTACGTAATGCTTTGTCTCGTATCCAATATGCGTGAGTTGGCAATACAGTAGAAGTCAATTTATTAGAACGCAATTTTCATTAATGCCTGATTAAATTGATTCTGGCTGAGCTCTTATTATCCGACTATCATCAATTGTCACTTCAATTATACGAATTTCTTCTTACGTTGAGATATTTAAGAATTTCCAAAATGATTCAAAAATAATATATTGAATTTGATAAATTTAAAACATGTCTTTGTAAATTCGAATATATGTAAATTTATTATACAAATATTTTTTTTCAGATCTAATATTTATTTACTTATTATTATCATACTCTTATATTTTTTTAAAATTGAATTAGATTTTTGATTGATTAGATGTTTATTGGATTAGATTTTTTTTTATATTCATTTTATTTCATCAATTTTACTTTTTAACAAGTACTCTATTAGATTTCGAGAAATTGAATTAATTAAATTGAATTCTCAATTAATCAAAATATAAATATATTTTTAATGTAATATAAATATATTTTTAATGTAAAATAAATATATTTTAAATGTAAAATATGGATTTTTCTATAAATGAAAACTTCATGCTAAATATTTGTATTATTTTCATAATATATATTCTAATGTATTAAAATCTATTACAAATAGAAATAAAAACTTGATAAATTAACTTATTAAAAAAATTAAATAATTAAAAAATATTTTAATTTAATAAAATATTATAATCTAATTTACTTTCGGTTATTTGAACGAAGAATCATAATCACTTAATCAAAATAACTAAAAACTATTCCTTTATTCATTATTTGAATGAAAAATCACAGATCAAAGAATCTAACCTAACCCAATTCCGATTATTCGAACGAAAAATCGTAAAAAAATCACAAATAATGAGAAAAATCAATTAGACGTCTATCATATTACGAAATAATCATTCCCAAACTGCTTTACATAAATGGACTTCCACTTGTGCATTTCCATTTTTCACGTATACAAGAAAATAGTAATAAACAAATAAACAGAAATGTCGGTCATACAGGTGAACCGGCTGTCGCTTTATCGACTGCGTTCGTTCCCTGGCTTTTATCCCCGATCACATCCGACACGTGTCACATAGAGAATCGACATTCTATTAACCGTTCCATTGGTGGTATACATTTTTCTCTTAGAATGCTATTTTTACGTTGGAAAAATGGTTCTTGGCCAGGCTGCGGGGCAAAACCGCTGACAGGAATGTCCTCGATCGTTTGCCTCGCTAAATAAGAAGCAGCCATCTTTTTCATTGGCCAGTGACCGTGACCTGATGCATAGAAACGAACGATTCATGAATCATACTTCGCGAGATTGAAGTCGCAGCTTCTTTGCTTCGTAAATTCTTTCTCTCTTTTTTTTTCTTTTTTCTCTTCCAATTAGTCATCTAGGGACTAACTGTTAGAGTTATGTGTGTCAAAGTCTCAAGGTTTCGAAATTTAACACTAGAATTATAAATGTCACTTGGAAGCCAAATTGATCAATTTCATTAATGTCATTTGGCTTTTTAAATAGTAATTGTATATTTCGGTATTAAAATTAAGAAATTTTTCAGAAATTAAATCAAATATGATACGAAATTGACTGCTTTCAATTTTTGTAATTACTAAGAGGATGATAAGATTTTAGGTAATTGATAAAAATTTGGTAAAAAATTATATTATATTCTATTCAGATAGAAACATAATTATAGTACCCAATTATTTCTATATTATTAATTTTAATAATTTGTCTATGATAAAAATAACAATTTGGCTTCTGAATGAAAATACTTGCACATTATATTTCGAAATTATTTTGACAATTAATTCTAGTTTTTCTCTTTCAATTCAAATAATAATTTGCTCAACATCTTTAGCACAACAATTTAACAAACTAACAATGTTATCGATAATTATAAGTTGTAATTAATAAATTATGGATTTTTGTTTTAAAATTCTTACAATTTTAAAATTTAAATAACAAAATAATCAAATTACTTATGTAATTTATAAATTTTGTAAAGTTCCATTATGTTACGTAGATTTACTTAATTATGCAAGATAAATAATGTGATTAATTTCTACGTTTTCAATCCATATTGGTCATTTTTCACTGTAAATTAATCTAACATGCTTTTCTTATGTACATTAATTAACCAAGCAAACGAACAAATAAATAAAATTTCAATGAAAATACCATGATAAATTTGAAAGTGTTCGACGAATGCACCTACCGTCCCCTGAGTCGTCGATCAAGCAAGAATCGATCCTTTAATTTTAAAAATCGAATCGAGATACTCTTTCTTTCTTTCTTTCTCTCTCTTTCGCCATTGCCCCGCGGTTTCATCGTTTGCTAAATACGCAACGCGTCGCGCACCTGGCACTTCCCACGAGACCAAGAATTATTACATATACGGTATAGGATAATATATATATATATATATATGTATATCTATATACATGCGTATTCTAAAGTGTGCGCAACATACAAAGTAATGGGTCCAATGCGTGGGCCCTAGTTATGCCCGATTGGGACTTCTTCGCACGAGGGTAAACTCCAAATGGATGTACCCTTTCGACGAAGAATAGAGATTCGTATTAGATTGTTGCAGATGAAATTTTTGAAATTTTAAAATTCTGATTTTTTTTTTGAAATTTTTAATTATTTATTGAATATATAAGTGATTTGGAATCAGTTTTTGTTAGTTATGCATAGAAACGATATATATATGATTTTTTAATCAATGAAGCGACAGCTTTACAAAATTCGCTCGGTTTTGGTAATTGGAAGTTTTTCGTTTTCAAGTTTTATCGACATTTTTATTAATTAGAGCCAAGAATTAATTTAAAATTATTTTGCGTTTGTTTTTCATTTGCAAAATTTATTATGCAATGTGATGAATATTTTTTTTTATAAAAAAAAATCAAAATTACAGGAATTCGATTTTTCTTTGAATTAATTATGTTAGAAAAAAAAATTATATGATTAAATGATTCTAAGATCTCTATGTTGAATGAATATAATAAATTGTTATTTATAGAGACATTATTATATTTCTAATTGGTAAAAAAGAATTTTTTTTTAAATATTTGATTTTGGAAAGCTTAACTTAAACTTTTATTGTTAAGGCAAGAATAAAAGTTGTGATATTTATTATGCATTAGACATAATTCATTTCTTTATAATAAATAGACTATAAATATTTATGTATTTATGCAAAATTTTAATACATAAAAATCTAAAAAATGTATATTACGTGAAAAAAAATATTCAAACTGTAACATAAATATGCACTATATTTAAGAAATAAAGCTAATCTTAATAAAAATTTAAGTTTTTGAGTATAAAAATCTACAGTCTATTAATAATACGATCGATAAAATATTCAATTGAGTTTCAAGCCTTAACATTAAAATTATCAAACCGATCAATAAAATGATAGGTTTCAAATTTTTTGCTTCTACAATTACTTAAAAATATGTAAATGCATTTGATAAAATCGATATTGATTTTCATTCTGCATCAGAAATATTATTATATTCAATTATTTTAATTCCTTGTAACACAAATAGTTTTATATAGTAAAAAGAGTTATGTTGTACAGAATTTTATTTTAATAAAATACATAAAAATAGAATTATTTCACCTGTTAAACACGTAAAGTGATACAAAACAAAATATCAAATTAATTAGATACTTAATTAACAATTCCATCACTGACAACTTGTGAATTTCTGATTATTTCATTTTTTCTAATCGACTTATAAATTAGAATTTTCTATGCCCAAAGAATCAATTCTAATCGTTTAAAATAAATATAGATATATTATAATTAATAGATACATTAAATCGATAGTTCTAATATGACAAATTAATAATCATTAACCAACTAATAATACCACTGAGTATTTTTAATCACTGAATTCCAAATAATTAAACACCTACTCGTAAACTCGTTCATTTCATGTGCAACAACCTAACCTGAAATCTCTAATGAATGACAACCGCATTGATCACACACGTTCACAAGGAGATCAAAGGATAGATTTAACGCCGATGATTTGTTGTAACACCGATAATAATTATTTATTGAAAATTAAAGTAACAAATTATTGGAGATTCTTCTAGTCGCCGTAGTGCTCTTTGTCCGTATTATAAAATATTGCCTCCTTCGTCCGGCTATGTATCCCTCCGGACTTTGTCCTTTATTATTAAACTCGACTTTCTCTCTCTCTCTCATACACACTAACACACATACACACGCTCTGATCACGCTTTCCATCTTCACACGCGCTCTTTCTCTCCCTTCCACGCGAATACTCTAATAGTGTCGACTCTCTCTCACTCATTCTTATATTGCTCCGTATGTACCCTCGCCGCGAAAAAGTATTTCTTCGTCGTTGTTCGATGATCGGCCGGTGACGTTTCGTTCCGTGGGATGGAAACGACTACTGGCCGCAATGATTCGATAAAAAGGTTCGATTGCTCGTCGAGGGATGATTGTCCCTTGATTGAAAACTGTCCCTCGGCTCCGTTGGACCAAGAGAGAGAGAAGCTTGGAGCGGAGATGGCGCAACGTGTACCCATATGGCGCGCCATCTTTTTAATCTTTGAGCCATGCGATTTCGAATGTGTCACGTGCAATCATTAAGAGCTGACTATTGGTTTGACAACAAGGGGATGGGATAAATTGAAGGATGGTGAATAGGAAGAATTTTTCCTGTTCGTGGATTGATAATTTGGAAATGAAGGGATGGAATGAAGAAGTTGGAATTTTATGATTACTTTTTTAATATTGGAAAGAAGTTTTTTTTTTTTCAATTTAGAATGTGAGAGAGATTTTTGTAAAATTAATTTTGTTCAAATTTTTCTTTCTTTCTTTCTTTTTCTTTTCTACTTTAAATAATCAGAAGTGGTACTATTGATAATAATAATTTTGTTAAATAATTACGAAATGATAAAATAATATCATTTCAAATATTATACTTCAGTCTACTAGTATAATCCCTTAAATAATATATAAAAGACAATATTTATATTCTATTCTTAAAAGTTACTTTTACTTTAAAAAAAAAAAACAAAGAAAAACAATGTAAAATCAAAAGATCTTTCCTAATAAACGAAATTTAATTATCGATGCAATTAAGTTCTCAGAGAATTATAATTCAAAACGAAGCCAGTGCTAATTTGCAAATGCGTGAAAACGTGCCTGTATTCCTGAAAGACACCTAGTCGAGGTTTACAGGGCGAAGAAGATTCAAGAATGAGCGCATAATCTACTGTGTGGGAATAATAAACTGCGATGGAGCACCCGTACCGACGCGGAAGTAATCCGATAATCTCATTAGATGGGTCTCCATAAAATCGTTAACCGCCATCCAACCCATAAACGTGTCCCGTTTCTGACGTTGCTTTCCCCTCGACAACCAGCTCATCTTTATCCCTTGCTTTTGCCTCTTTCATCCCTTTTCCGTTTCCTTTTCTTCTCTTTTTGACTGGCTAATTTAATTTGTCTCACCTTCCTCTCCCCCTCCCTCTCTTAAGCGATTAAAAAACCGTTCTCGTGGATAGTGGGACACTTTGAAACTTGATTTTTAATAGAATTATATTACGTATACTGTTTGTATTAAGTATACTGTGAATGACTGATTAAAGTGAGAATAATTAAGTACGTGCGTTCAATTGAAAATTTTTGAAAATATTTATATATAATTTTGTGCACAAATTATTTTCAATGTTTTATCCATATTCTAGTTTCGCAGGGAATATGAAAAATGTTGAGGAATTTTCAAGAATTCGAAAAATTTTTCAATTCGCAAGGAAATCCGTTCATTTGAACCCCCCTCCATTTTAAACCATTCTCCAAATTAAATTAATTCCGTGTCTCCCATTGAAAATTCCATTGATGAAGATACACGTATACACACAGACAATTATTATTATTCTCCTGGCAAATCGAAAACACGGAGGAAACGTTGTCAAGTTAAAATCGGGGTCGAAAGCCGG